TGGTCCCTATATAATTACATGTGAATGCAAAATAATACATATTTGCAGTTGAAATTAGAAAGGCCAACGGATCATCGACAATGGAGATCAAGACCCCGGCCAAATGGAGACAGATCCAATGAACTAGGCGAGTGAGATAACCATTCTTAAATGGCGATACATCAGAATTACAAAAGAACTTGAGCGCTCTAAGAATAAGTCTTTTCACATGAGTTGGAAGGGTTACTCGCAACTCAACGACCTTTTTTTAGCCTCGAGAGTACTATACATCGAGATGTTATGATTTCACTTGAACATTAGGAAGGTTACCGGGGAGCAGGTAATTTAGTGTTAACAACTGAGTTAAAAACATAAATTGGCCACCTTAAAGAGTAAAAAAGCTGACGTTTTGAGCGTTAACTCTATCGCTCTGACGAAGGGCTAACGCTCGAAACGTCAGCTTTTTTACTTTTTAAGGTGGCCAGTTACGTTTTGTCAACTCAGTCGTTAACACTAAATTACCTGCTAAATTATCTCTCCCACCGACGCAGCACCACAGTTTCTTTAGAAACTTACACCCTTAATTCATTTACCAGGGAACCTCGACTTTACGTGCCCCTGTTGGTTTCGGTAGGTTAACGGACCAGTTTCACATGTCGAAGGTACATGCCGGCTAAATTCCTTCAGTTATTATCGTCAATTATACATTGTTATGGACTAAGGCGTAGTATAGGGCGATCGATTAAGTCGATGCATATCACGCTTGAAATGTTTCTTTCAAAGACCTGAAATGCATGACTGAACTAGCCCCAATTCGGCCAGCGGCATTTCCTAACGGACCAATCAGATGAAAGTGGAATCAACGAGTGGCAATTTCAAAACTGTTCCCTCTCGTAACTTTATGAAGGAATTTTTCGCGAAGATTTGTATGGTAAATATTGTAAGTTCTTCTGATTTTAATCGCTGAAAACAATTGTTTGGTAGAACAAAATGTCTGAGCATCAACGCAGTTCTATTTCGGACGGCGAAGAAGAGCCTGATGATGGTCAGATCGACCATCCTAACCGTGACAATGACGCGGACATTCGCAAGAATCTCTTCGATGAATTTGATGATCCTGTAAAAGAAAAGACCTCTTCGGACACTTCGGGGAGAGAATACATTAAGGTTTATTTACGAGCACGGCCGTTTAGTAGCGAAGAACTCGAGGCAAACGAAGATCAACAATGTGTAGAGAGAGAAAGCCGTACTTCGGTCTTGATGAACGCGCCAAAGGAATCGTTTGCATTCAAAAACAGCACTCGGGCTGGCGGTGAGATTTCGCATCGATTTTCGTTCACAAATGTGTTTAGTGAGGATACAACACAGAAAGTTTTCTTCGATGAGACAACTCTTCCTTTGGTAACGGACTTCATTAAGGGACAAAATTGTTTGGTTTTTACCTACGGGGTGACTAACTCGGGAAAGGTAAGCGAGCTTTCGTTTTATTTGAACATTTGTAACTACGCGATCAGTGAGCTGTAACCTCTTCACTTTCTTTCGAATACAAATTGGATTCATGGTAATAAGCTGTAAAAGGATATAACACTTATTAATTTGGTTGGGTGTCGTTTTGATGTCAGTTACATGTTGATATTATTTATTCCAGTTGAGTTGGGTCGTATACTTCAAAACATCTTTGCTTTCGGTGTTTCTTTTAGACTTACACAATTCAAGGAACCCCCAAAGATGGTGGGATTCTACCTCGAAGTCTTGATGTACTCTTTAACAGTATAGAGGGAAAGAGTTACGAGAGAATGGACCTCAAACCAAGATTCTGCACAGATGTTGTTAGGCTTACATATGACGAGGAACAGAAGGAAAGTAATTTCAAGTGTGCGTTACTCTCGTCTCTCAACAAAGAGGTGAGTTACAGCAATTAATGGTGGGTGATATTTTTTTGAACCGAGCTCTCAAACATCTTAAATGAACACTGTATACACTCTTTTTTTCAAGGAACATCAAATGTTTTAAGATATGCGATTTTTTCGATTTGAGCCTGAAAACGTTCTTATCATGTTCTTAAGTTGTATGGTATAGTATTCAATAAATCAATTATTCAATAATCTTACTGCCTGGAGTTGTGTTCTAATGTTTTTGTTTAAGGATAGAGAGTAGCAATGGAACATGATCACCAGCATTTACTGCTGCTGATAAGGCCTCTTCTGTCTTTCAAGACTTTATTTAACATTGCAAATGATTTGCATGGCCACTTGCATGGCACAACATTGCAGCCAATAGTGAAAAAGATAAGAATCTGGTTCGAGAAAGGGAGGCTTCTTGAAATGGGAAACTCATAGATGCATTTATGGTATTGCAAGATATTCATCAGGAAAAGCAGTCATCCATGTATTTTGCATTATTCTTTCAGACTTTTGACATAAATGCATTTCTCAAACTGGACCAAGACTCTACTGCTGACTTGTCAAAAGTCAGTTGCATTGATGACTCAGTTCTGCATAACACAATCAAGAGTCAGGATGGAGGACATGAAGGTATTTAACATTTTATCCAAACTAGATGCAAGGTTACTTCAGTTGTAGCTCCCACTTAAGCATGGTTTCATTTTTTTTTTAAAGAAAATTCATCTCAAATCCTCCTTTATTCAAGAATTTTCTAAAGACTTTTGCCAAGTGAAGTGGTTAAACACTAGTATTTTCCCTAGATTTAATTGATCCTGTCATGTCATTTCAGAGTCCTCCATCGACAATGACGAGAATATTTCTCGGGTGGCAGATGACACCACAATTAATGTAGATGCACAAGGACCAGTCAAATTCTCTGTCTGGGTTTCTTATGCTGAAATCTACAATGAAACAATCTTTGATTTGTTGGAGCCATGTCCAACAGGGAAAGGTAAAAAAAGAACAACACTCAGACTTGGTGATGATGCAAACGGGAACCCCTATATCAAAGGTATGTGCTGAATAAAGACTAAAGTGGAACCTTTGAACATTGCTTTGTTATTTTATTAATTACTAAGAAATGATCAATAAATGAGTTGACTTTATTATTTTTACAAATTTAGATGGTACAAAAAAGGTAAATGTTATGTTCCCTTGAGCATGAACAGTACTGTATGCTTCCCAGTGTTTTCCACAGTTCTTTCCCTTGCAAGCAGTGTGGTCTATTTACTACATTTGAGACATCCAGATTTTGTGGTACAAGCAACTTGAGTCTTAACATAGATCTGTGCTTTCTGTACTTAGATACAACAACCAGATCCTAGCACCTGACAATCTGTCACAGCTATCTAGTTTGCCTTACTTTCCAAACAATATTTTTTTTGACTGATTTTTTTTTATCAAAACTGCACACTCAGCTAGACTGGTCAATTGTGTCATCAGTTGTCAGGGATTTGACAGTTTCAGTGGCCTAAGTCACCAATACCTGCTTCTTCTTTTTCATTATATATTTGTTCATTTTGTAAATTGTAATTTCAAATATGGTCAAGAAGTTATACTACAATGATGATGATCTAGTAAAGTGGAAAATTTAGGCAAATTATTAGTGATGTCTGTTTGCATTTATTAATGAAGGATTGAGAGAAATTTACGTCTCCAATGCTGATGAAGCCTACAAGGTAAGATATGCTTCCATCCTTAATCTTTTTCCCCTCTTGGTTACCTGCACTTAAATAACATCAGTGTAATTATAACTGTGTTTGTTTCAATTTCTCAGAGGAGCAACACAGTGATACTAAACAATCTTATTTCTTTTTTTCTGTGTAGATTCTTAAGATTGGCCAGAAAAATCAAAGAATAGCTTCCACAAAGTTAAACCAGTGTTCCAGTCGTAGGTAAATACAACAAATTATCATGGTCGGTTACATTAGGCTCTTTAAAAATAGTCTCTTTTTCATTTACTCTACAACACATTATTTTGTTGCCAACTAGCATGGTGAGATGATGATGATGACAATGATGGTGGTGGTGGTTGTAGTGGTATTGATGATGATGTTGACACATAGAAGTAGACTTTATCATAGTTTTATGTTACTAACAAAGCAATTCTTTCATTCTTCAGTCACTGTATCTTCAGTATCAAGGTTCTGCGAGTAGTTGATGTTGATGATCCTCATGTAGCAAGAGTTAGCAGGTAAGTGACCATGTCATGCAATTTTTCTTGATATTATTGTTTTAGAAATCACAGTTCAAAATTCTTTAATAGAAAACTATAACACATCATCCACTTGTTGTAAAGTAGCCTCCAGAACCTATATAGTTATAGAGGCACATGGCTCCATGTGCAGTTTTACTTAAAATACTTATACCACAGTTACAGTTAACATAATTTTTTTTTTCTGCAGACTCTCATTTGTAGATTTAGCAGGATCTGAGCGCTACTCAAAAACCCAGAGCAAGGGAGACAGACTCAAAGAAGCTGGTAACATCAACACTTCCTTGATGACTTTAGGCAAATGCCTGGAATATTTACGTTACAATCAGAAAAACCCGTAAGTAGGATTTATCCAGTGAACTGCAAATAAATGTTGATAATAGTTTTTAGCTTTCGAATTAGCCTCATACTGCTGTACTTTATGTTTTCGTTGAAACCAATTTTATATCTTTTAACACAGACAAAACGTTTCATTTATTTTTGTAGGAATCAACCCCTTATTATCCCATTCCGTGAAAGTAAACTCACTAGACTGTTTCAGGGATTTTTCTGTGGAAAAGGAAGGGCTTCCATGATTGTCAACGTTAACATGTGTGCTTCCATGTTTGATGAAACATTCCATGTGATGAAGTTTTCAGCTATCGCCAAAAAGGTTAGAAAATATTTGAAAATTGTCCATCTTTATATACTGGATTTTACCTGACATGTATCATTAATACAAAAAAAGAGGCTTTGGAGAATTTAATGAAGAAAGTTAGCAATTAGAAGCCAAATATTTCAGTGTACAGTTTGATGTCTGATTCTCCCTTTCTTTCCTTGTTTATTGTCAGGTGACCACCAGAGTGTCCAAACCAGTGGATTTACCTCCTCCAGCAAAGAAGGCCCGTGCCTTGGCTGCCACACCACGCTCCAAACCAGCAAGGCCCTCTGTGCCGTGGATCAAAGGAGCACTTCACACACCAGCCCCTTGTGATGATACTCTAGCAGAGGTTGATGAAGAGATAGAGGAGGAAAGTGTCATTATGGAACCCAACCCTTATCAACAGGTTTGTTACTCAAAGCTTGCAAGCAGGCCCTTATTACTATTCCTTTGGCGAGAGTGTTTCTCTGACCGCGGGAGAATATGAGGTTGTGAGCGACGCGAACTGATGAGAAGTCTGTAAAGAGTCTGGCACTGACAGTATTATGAGTTAATCAATTATAAGTTTATAAGTTTGCTTATTATAAAGGTTTACTAACTTAGATCAGACTAACCTCAGGAGGTGTTAACTACTACCCGCACCACTCAAACGACTCATTTACGACATTGACATGACAAACGAACAGAGCAGAACGACATAATTTTACCGATGGACTGAAACTGATCAATGACAACCGACTTGCACTACCTGGGTCTTACAGCCAATTACATCACGGCAAAACTGACCAATCAGTTTGTACGAACCGGCCTCAGAACATTCGAGTGACAACAAATATTCACTTGACTCTGAAGATGTTTTCCACTCAGGTTGACGAAACATCAATCACCACTACCGACAACAGTCCTTCACAGGACTATACTCACCCGAATAACAAGACACTACACCAGCAAATGTTGTAGGTATCAGACCCCAGGCAATCCTCTTCCCGACTCGTCTCCAATCTATCTGCAGTTAAAGAAACGCGCGTCGTGCATCGCTTGATAATGTAGTTACTCCAAGTGTTGATGTCAAGCAGCCTAAATGCACAAAATCATACAAGTAAAAACCAAGTTAGTGGAATGGGATGGTGTTAATTAACATCAGCTAGGGCTTTAGTCTGTTATGCTGTCATATCTTACTTTTCTATCGATTTTGTCACATTTAGCAACTTGTGGACTTGGTTAAAGTTCTCCAGGAACAACTGATCGAAGAGAAGCGTAAGATGCAGACACTGGAAGTAAAGATACGAGAGGAAGTGTGCAAGGAAATGGCTGAACAGCTTGTTTCCATCGAGAAAGCCTACAGGTAATAAGGAAGGAACAATGGTGATACCAGTCCCCCTAGTTTGTTGCTCTATTATCACCGAACCTTAAAATCACGCATATTTGTGAGACATAACGTTCTTAAAAATGTAGAAGTGAAATGCTTCTGAGTTTCATCTAAGCTGTGTGTTAACTTTCAGTCAATATAGAGGTGTGATAATTGCTGAACAAAGTAGAAACCGCGCAATTCGCTCTCAAATTTCAGTCAACGTGTTAAAATGGAAGTAACCGCTGTTGAGGAGAAGTGTGATCGCAGGATCGAATTGCTGACGCAGTCGGTCAAAATATCTAGAAAAAGAGCCCGAGTCGAACGAACAGAAGAGGACGACGAGGAATGGGTGTCAAGTGTGTTTTTACATGCAGAGCAGACTAAAGTTCGGGTGAGTAAGTAGATGGAATAACGAAATACTTAGGTGACAGAATGATCATCCGTTTAGACAATAAAGCTGAGCTGTCTCAGATCCTGTCGCATAACGCAACAAGCTTTGCTACTCCGTCCAGGTGGGATGTTTTTTTTTTCATCACCGCTAACCCGCACTATTTCCTCAGATTTCCTAGTCATTTCCTCAGATCCCATTCATACTCACGGATGGAGAGAGACCTACAACAAATTTTGCACGGTCTCCGAACTTCTCTTTCGTCTCACACCACTGGGACAAGGCAAAATATTTGTAATTGAATTAAGTCGTAATTTCTTTTCACAATTTTGGGTCGTAATCAAGAAATCTGTGATTCGTTTTTCAGGAGCAGCAGCAACTCATTGGTGGACTGAACGCACAGATTGCTGAGTTGCGCCAGGAAATCAAACAACTAAAAGAAAACAAACAAGAAGAAGCAGCGACCTCACAGGCAGTTTTGGAATTGCAGGCTCATTTGAATCACGCCAACGAGGAAGCTGCAGAACTTAAACAGATGCTTGAGGAGGCTGGCGAAGCATTCTCTGAGAAGGAGGCAGAGATTAGTAAACTGAAAGCAGCGCTTGACGAACAGGAAGCTTGCATTAAAAAACAGGTGCGTTCGAGGCGATAGAACTCGACATTACCAATCACACGAACTGTTCTGTTTAACATTCTGTACGTAATTTTGTACGCAATTTCTTACGCAAAAGTAAACCACTCGACGTTTTTCAAATTACACCTTACTACCCTGTACACTGTAAAGTGACCAGACGAAAACTCGCAATCATATCCATCATTCTTCCAACGGAAACAAAAAGTCAAATTCAGGGTCTGAAACTGCGACCAACTGGTCGTCAATGTGACTGAAAAATAACTCTTGGCGACCAGAATTTGAATTTGTATAGGATGTAAGGCGCTGAATATATGGATGTGTTCCAAGTTTGAAGCAGATAAAAGCTGACGAAACATTTAATAGCTTACAAGACAAAATACAATTTGCAATCACCGGGCTACAGAGTCTCCACCCCTCGGCAGTGGCTGCACAAAATAATGCCTCATAGCAGTTGTTTCATGAAGTCATCATTTATTTGGCGCTCCTGAACCTGTAATCAATAAACGAGTGATTACGTATATTTAGTGGTGTTCGTGTCGTTCCTCATGCGGTGGCGGTCTACTTTTGTGCGCCCTGGGACCAAGTTGTCTCTAAAAAGTGGAGAAACACCTAGAGAAGAAATTGTCCAGGGGTAGGGAGGGTAGATTTTTTTTCTAAACTTAGGAGTAGGGTTTACCCCGTTTTAACTCACCAGATGTAAACTAGGAGTTAGTTGGAACTATTAAAAGAGTGGCGCTAAAACGAAGTTAAGTGGAGTGAAAGCATCAAAAAATATTCTGAATTGTGACATGATACAGAAACCGAGCGTTTTCACCATGACTAGGTTACTGTAGTTAAAGAAATAATGATCGAATTTGATTTGGCAATCTGACTTATCAGGCCCACTTGGCAAGAAAACTTGATCAACTTAGTTGTGGAACTTGGAGAGTTTGAAAGCAAACGTTCGTGACAATGACTGACAAGAACAGACACTACTCCTTTTCTGAAATTTGCTAACAATTTAGTTGACGACTTCTAAGCTCAACGTTCCTTGATAGCCTACCTCTTAAACAAATTGCGGTGAGAGATGGAAGGCATATGGATGTGTAGTAGTTCAGTGATTCTCCTTGGTACCCAGTTACTGTCCATGCCTTTCTAGTTTCGTTTAATCATTTTTTTCGAAGGTGTAGTTTGATCCTAGTTTTCCCAAAATTGACCGCGCTTATGGTATTCAAAATGGCTGAAAAACACGTTAAGTTCATCATGTTGAAGTTGAAGTCCATAAAGTATATCCAAGCCCACATATCTCACACTTTCCGTTTTCTCAGGCGCGCTGCGTGTATCTCTTGAATCACTTGAGTTAACCAGACTGACTCCCCTGCATTTTGTTTATACCAAATACAGGACGCAACCTTACAACATCTCACAAATGAGCTACAGAAGGAGAAGGAAGCGCCTAAGAAGACGGAAAATTCCGCTGAGCTTTTGCGGACACAAGGTGCCCTGGACGCTGCCTTGGCCAAACTTTCAAACACAGAGCATCAGTTAGAGACAAATAACACAATGATGAAAGAATTAGTGAGGACATTGGAGGAGACAAGAGAAGAATTAGCCCGTGAGAAAAGTTATGTCGCTCAAGCATTCGACAACGACGAAGAACTAATAAGAATTAAAGACGAGCTGCAGAAAGCAGAAGAACGCTGTAAGGAGCTGGAGAAGGAGATATCGTCACTAAATCAGGTTATTGAGGATTCACAAGCAAAAAGAAACACCCAGGCCGAGGAGACAGACAACATTATGGCCACCGAGATGGCTGTTTTGGCAAAGCAACTTGAAGCAGCTAAAGGAGAGATGCACCATGCCAAAGCTGAACTAGAAACGTTCAAAGGCGAGTGCAAAGAAAAAGAATCTCAACTTGAGAAGATGAAGAAGGAGTTTGGCGAAAAGGTGACAGAATTGGATGACGCTAAGAAAGATATTTGTGATAAAATGGCTGCACTGGACGACATGAAGAAACGAGTTACAGAAAAGGAGACACAACTGAAGACCATTCAGGAGGAGAATTTAAAGACGACAGCGGAATTGAAGAATGCCAAGAAAGCTCTTGAAGAAGAGATCGCAGTTTTGTCCAAGAAAGAATGCGACGTTTACCAGGCAGAAGGTCCTGAAGACTTGAGCAAAGAAAGTGCCCAAGACATTGAAAAGCAAGAAGTTAGAACTAAAAGGGTGGGAAAGGAAATCGAGGAAAAAGATGCAGAATTGAAGAGCGTCAAGAGTGAGAGCAGGAGAAGGATAAATGAACTGGAATCGGAGTTGGTAGAGTGTAAAAAAGAAATGAAGAAACTTCATAGTGAAGATAGTTTGAAAGAATTGGAAAAACAGTTGGAAGAATCCACAAAAGCGCTGGACAAGAAAAACAGTCAGGTTATTGCCAGAAATAACACCATTAAACGCCTCGAAATGTCCCTAGCAGAGAAAGAGAAGCATCTGTCCGAAATGGAAAAGCTACCCAAGGAAAATAATCTGAAAACTAAGGAAGAATTGAAAACGTTAAGAAGACGACTTGTCCAAGCTGATAAAGAGAGAGAGGAGAGTAAGGATATGATGGCTAAAAAGAACGTGACACTTGAAGAAACTAGGCTGGAACTTAAGAGGTTAAAGAGAGAGTACGATGAGAAATCCGCCAAATTTCTCGAGGAACTACAAGAAGTAAGGGCGGAAATCGATGTAGAAAAAGAAGGAACGAAGAAGAAAGACGAACGCATTCAGTCTTTGGAAGAAAATTTGAATTCTCAGCAGCTAAAGAATGCTTGTTTACAAACGCAGCTGGAAAATGAGAAGAGAAACGTGTTGGAAAAAGAGAAAGCTGTTGAAGAGGCGAGTAAAGAAATGTGTAATGCACGAAGTGCGTCAGTGAATGAGTTAGATGAAAAGAAAAAGCGTCTAGCTTCTATGGATGGAAAAGTTCATGAACTAAAAGATGAACTTTCTACTGCGAACGAGACAACTTCACGACTGCAAACTGAAATTCAAAGATATAAAAACCAAGTTGTACCAGATCTTGAACATAAAGTGAGATTCCTCGAGGAAGGAATGGCACGCAGTGATGAGAGGATTAAGGTATGAATAGTGATTAGTGTATTGTTGACTATTAATGTGGCTATATCACACACTTTGAGCTTTTACAGCTAACCATGGAATTAGCTATAATATACCACAGTGGCATAAAACTGTTTCCACGACTTAAATATCTTTCAATTGCGACCTTGAAGTTATTTTACGTCAGGTGAAGTATTTCTGCTATACCAAACGACTAGCTTGCTAGGAAGCAATCATTATTGGCGCTTCAGGGTGCGCGTTTTGTACCAACAAGAAGATTTGAGACGAGTCGGAAGAGGTTTTTCGGGGGTCTGGCACTAATGATATCAGTGCTCGCGTTGTTTAAGGCCTCATACTTTCTCATGGACAAAAAAAAACGTTCGTGCCGAAGCCAGAGTTTTCTTTGAGGTTTTAAGTAGCCGGAGCTTTTGTAAAGGTAACCGGTTGTGGGTCCGAAGGACCCCTACGATGGGCTTTAGCCCATTGTTTCTAGGGGGGTCGGGGGCATGCAAATCCAATATGGCGGACAAAACGTCATATCGTTCGTACTTTCCTGCCACCGCAGCCAGATTTGTCCAAAAAAAAAGTCCCCATCAGACAGTTTTTAAACTAACCTTGAGTCAGAAGTCTATTTATGTTTTCAGAAAAGATAGGCTGTGTAAATTTATATTTTTATTGAGCCCAAGCTTAGATTTGATAAACATCATCTCTGTACGGGCTCTGGAAGCAATGAAAGTAGCCGGCGAAACCCTGCAGGGAAGTCGGCGTTCTTGGCCGGCTGCCGGCTCTTATCTACAACCCTGGGCCGAAGTACCAA